GTAACGGATGGCTTCAGGCTGGAGCTGAAGCCAAATTTTACTTGTTACCAATTTTTCCAGCAACTCTTTTTGTATCAGTTCCTCATGAGAGTTCACAATTCTCTATGGCACTCCTGAAGATTATTAGGTAGAGCGGCTCACCTGTTTAACATATATCACATGTTAGTATATCTCATTTTAACTAAATTTTGTTGCCCTTTTGATTGTCATAAGATAGAAATATGTAGTACTTGTGGTAGCAAGAGTGAGGCGTAGCAAGGACTTCCCAAGGTGTAACTGCACTAATCATCAGACTTGCTTTAAGTTCTCATTATGCAATTTACAAAGCTTTAAGGTTCTTGTCTAACAATTAAATGATATTCAAGAAAAATCTTTCAACTTAAACTGCTTTGCAGCTATACACCTCTGCATTAACTTTCCTGAACAAGCTTGAAACCACTACAGCCTTGTAAAGAAGCAGTCAGGTTGCCTGCATATTATTCATGCATATTATTTCTATAATACATTTGGAAACTGGTAAGGTTTTTAAAGGATTCTTCCCACTAAGCAAAGCTGAACTGGTATATCTTTGCACAAAGAAACAGCCCTGCTTAAGTTTTTGCTTTGTTTTGTTTAGAATTGATACAGGAACTCTTATTCAAAATGCTGCTGGCTGCATATCGTTATTCGAATTTTTGAAGCTTCGGATACTGTTGAACATAGTTTACTTAAAAGCACAGACTTTGGTATGTGTGCATCAGCCTGATTTGCTGATGTTCTGAGTCAAAACGCATTTTCATTACATATGCAGAATATAAACTAGATTAGCTAGTGGTGACTGACACCGTGCTAAGTATTACGATCACACGTAGCTATATAATTTGATGAACAACTCTTGCATTCCTCAGTGATTCTGTATAATTTTCATTTCATCTTTGGTGCACACAGTAATTTTGAGGTAAGTTTCATTTTAGGCTTTGAGTTTTAACCTAGCATAAGAGTTCAAAGTCAAGTCATAAAAACTAAGAAACCCCTAGATGAAAATGAATGATCTCCAAAGTAAAAGGAGTAAGAAATCAAATAGCCCACCTCTTGGCTGCTACCTGAACATGTGGAATATATAGTGTTCTACCAACCTTAATGCTACATCTACTGGAGCTGGTCTACTGTTAAATAAGCACTTTTCTAACCACGAGAAGAACAGAATGAAAGAGAGGAAGGGTTTTCCAGTTTAGTAACAGGGCATCTATGAGCGTCTCTCTCCAACTGTGCCAACTTGGATTTGCACAGATCCTGTATGGATAATTTCAAGTAGTCTACAAAAAAAAGAAATCCTAATTCTTAATTTATCTCGATGCATATTACAGCAACATGAAAGGTGAAGTGTGCTACGGATATATGCAGAGATAAGATGGTTACTTTTCTAAGCAGTAATGTTATGGTGGGATAATACCATAACAGTTATGAAGTTCCACCAATTTATATGATGATAGAATTTTTATTCACTTTAATTTTCAAGCTTTTTTAATATGCATAAGCTGAGATATCTAAATGTACAGAGTTACATTGTTACCTTTCCCCAGGCAATTTCAGCATCCAAATTGCTAGGCATCCCGTGCACTGCTGATCTCTTTGTCAATTCTGCATCTGTTGCTGCAAGCCATTCTGTCAGAGCATTAATTTCTTTCCGTAGCTTTCGGGACAATTTCAAGCATTTCTCCAACTCTTGCTTTTTTTCTGTCACCTGCAGAAAGAAAATATGTTTTTCTTAACTCTTCAGTCTTACTGTTTTAATGCCTTTTTTATACCATTTTTCATACACCATTTTTCTATGACAGTTGAATTTGTAATTTTACAAGGCAAGCTGCACTTTTAACATAGTTTTAAATCTTCGCTTAGTTCTCTCAACACCTGTAATTTTGCTGTTAGTATTAAAAAACCTACTAAAACAATCTGTGCATAAAGATTCACTGAGTTTGAGCTAGCAGGAGACCCCAGAAAACCTCCTCCTCCCTTCTGAAGTCATGCATAGCACACTAAATTGGAACAGATGAATTAGTAGGCTTTCCTTGAGACATAGAATAGATGTCAAAACCCTTCCACTAGTGTATTTTCATAAAGTGATATATATGAAAATATATAACTTCACAGTGATATTGAATCCTCAGATTTTCTCTATGTAGCTACACTACACGGAAGAAAAAAAAATTCTCTGCCAAAAAAATCTGAAAACCTTGAAGCACAAAAGCCATTGAATGATGTTAAATCAAGTCTGTACAGTTAACCTTAAGTTTGGAATTTCTTAGCGTATGATTTTGCTGCCTGACTCTACTCTTTAAATGTAGAGTTTTTGAATAGAAGTTTGTAATTTTTTTTTTATTTTTTCAAAGTATACTGGAAAAAAGATCAGCAGAAATGTACATCATTTGTAAATCCTTTCCATGGTTTAATAATATTTACTTGGGTCACTGTGGAACAAGTCATACAGTTTGCATTACACTCTGAGGCACTCTTTACCAAGGTGTCTTGCCACCCTCCTATCAAATCTGTCACTTTAGCAGGATGAAAGTTGTCTCCAGTACAAAGTCAGAATCACACCCATCCTGCAACAGGAACACTTGTACTTTGGTCATGTAATGATTTTACTTTCTTTCATACAGAGGGGGAAAACCGAGGTGTACTGAGCTCAGGTGCCTTCATCAGGTTCTTTTTGGCACCGACTGAAAGGTTAGCCAACTCTTCTAAATAAATGAGCATAAAGAAAGATACATTTTCCTAGAGAGTTCACAGCTGTTTACTAACAGTAGGCAAAACAATGATAACCTCAGGCTATATTACAGACTTTAAAAGGAAATGCAGCTTGTAGACTGTCATCCCAAGCTTCTTTTCCATGGTCCTCCCCATCCTCCATCATAGCCTCCTTTCACATTCTTCTTCCTTATTGCCAGGGCGTTTTCTCATGTCTAGTTCCCTTGGATAGCCAATCATGTCTTATATTCCCCTGGAACCCATTCCCCATACAAGCCCCAAGGTCTGGGCTTTGAAGCTGTTTGAATACAGCTAGCAGCACACTGATCGACGTTTGTGATGCCTAGTTCTCCTGCAAGGAGAGTTTTGCTATCCCCGAGCAAACGGATCAGATTTTCTCAGAGAATAAGTAACCAAGTGTCCTCTATCACGTTATCACTATGCTTCTTCTTTACTGAAGTAGTTTATGTGCTTTTTCATATGCCAAATTCATTAAATATGCCCTCAGAATTAACAAGTCATGCCAAGAGGAAGAACTAGAGGTAAATCCCTAAGAAAGACCATACAACCCATCTTTTTAGCTAAATACAGATTCACACACACGGAGCCAGGAATCCACAGGTTTTTTGCATGTTCTTCTGACCAGTATTAGTGATTCTGATCATTATAAACAATGAAAGTATTCCAGTTAAAAATACAAGCCATGGTAAATAACTCCTTGCAGGTACTTAGCAGCAATACTATGCAAAATGCACTATCCTAAGTGTGGCCGAATCATAAAACATTGGCATACTATTAAAAAAACCTGCTGATACATGCTCAGACACAGAAAAAATTATGTTGATATATATAGATATATATTCTGTATCTAGTATCGATAATATTTTACTATTCCATGTTATACGGGTTATTGTTTTATCAGTTTCTCTTTGTACTTTATATCTCAAAATATATTTCTAAAGAAAAATAGGAAACAGTGCCCTCTTAAGGCCTTCTGTTTTCTACAACAGCAGCAAATAAGTGTTATTGCCATAAAATTTTTCTGTATTTTACAGCTATTTTAGCTATGTTAGATAGTTTGCTTGCAGGAATCTTTGGAAATAATAAATAAAACTTGCTGTCAATAAAATGGCAAACACAGATATTTAAAGCAAAAAGTAAGGTATTTTATAGCCTTTTAATTTTACAGACAAAGTCTAATAGCCAAATTCCTGTGCAGCAGTGGGCTTGTGAGGAATGACCTGACCGTGTAGCTGATAGACTACACAGCATGCAGTGCCTTTAGGAGGGCAGCAAGATCATTACTTACTGCCACTTTCTTTTACAGAGTCTAGCTAACTTTTATGCTGAATTACCACAGAGAGATTTGGCATAAGGGTGCTATAGACTTCCTACCTCATAGCCACTCATGACTAAGAAACTTATCTAAGCTGTAAAACAGTTGTTTGTACCTAAATGTTTATATGTATGTATGCAAATGAATGCAAAAGCCTTCTGAAAAAAATGAATGCAAAAGCAAGCACAGGCATGAAATATTTATCATAAATGCAACCACACCATGATATGCAAATAACATTTTGACCTCTTGCAATTTCATCTCAAACCTATTTGCATTAAGACGACTACTTATTTTCAAATCATTTATTGTGGTTAGAAAGCATATCTGGCTAAAAATTACGGGCAAACTTTGATATTTTGGAGATACAAAACTCATTCCTGGACCACTAGTAGGTTTAAGATATCATACTACTTCATGAACTAAGTCTATGATAGGAATTTATATCTATATGTGTATATGCTAAAAACAAACAAACAAACAGAACAAAGTAACGTTCAACTCCCCTCTGTTTCAAGGGGAAGAAGAATTTTTAGATTCAGAGTCTCAAATTCTTGTACCCCAAAATCATTTTTCTAAATACCATATAGTAGGTATTATCAGAAATTGTTGGAAATGGTTAAAATTTTGTTGGTCACAATTTTGCTGTTTGAGAGCGATGCATTACACAACACCTCAACACATTTAATAAAATCCATTCTACATGCTTAAGAATGTGCTTATTAGGGACTGTTTTAAATAGAAGCGCCCTCCTGAAGCACAACATGTGAATGTATATGAAATCATGCAAACGAGTCTACACATGGGTATGTGTTTGCCCTCAAGCTATACATTTCAGTCCTGAGACTTATTTATACTTATAAGTATTATCAGTTATTTCTTGGGGGAAAAAAAATATTTAATTCTCCAAACTTAATAAAATCAATTGGGGCTAACAAAGCTTAAGTGATTATTTTAGTTCTCTATGTCTGGGCATTCATGACTCTAAAACTGTTAACTACTGCACTATGTAAAAGTAAATATGAAAAAACGAAATCTAGGACAACAAAGCTGAACACAGCATTTCAGGCTTTTGACCCACGTTAATTTGCAATTTTGCTCACTTCAAATCACTAATGATTCCCTAATGACACATTTTAATCCTTTCATTAGATAGGCATCTTTCTATTGTTATGTTACATATAATGCAGTAATAAATGCCACAGCTCTCTGTAAAATAAAAGGGAACCCAAACATATTATCTCTCATGATAGCTAACTACAACTTAATGAAGCAGACTCTTCAGTTTTGTTAACACTCAAGAAATTGACATCTCTTAATACCTTTATTTTCTAGAAAGACAGAGAACTTTTAATTCAGGTTCCCAAATGAATATTATTAGTGGAACTCTGATTGTTTTATTGTACTATAGCAAGTGGGGCTTGATGATCATTACGTGCTTAAACCACATACTGACACACAGCATTACCAGAGGCTCATTTTACTAGCTATTAATGATTAGGTATTCATTTGTTTTAAAAGTTTATAATCTGGGAAACTAAAAAATTGTATATTCTGCTATTCCGTATATTAGAACTGCATAAACTTCAGCAATGAATAGAAATTCATATCTCTTATTCACAATGGGCATTCAGCCACATACTGCACCAAATTTAGTCTAATCCTAAAGTTTTTACAAGTTCTGTGAATAAATCTCATGAGGGCAGGAGGAGAAAAACAAAGTAACTACGGATAGTTGTTTATGACAGTATTTGTATGAAGCTTCCTCTATGACAATGCCGCAGCTTCTCTTTAGAGCTCAGAGGTCCTTGCAGAGCATTGTACTTCAGTAGCAGGTAATATTTCCATAGATAATGCAGAGCCAGAAAAAAAAGCCTTTAGGGATTGATGCACATTTTTCGTTCAGATGCAGCCTTGTTAATATTGGTTAATAATCTGTTTTTCCTATTGTCTGTTCAGTTGACTTCTAGGGAAAATTCTGAGTAAAGAAAAACATTGTCCTGTTAGTAATCATGCTGTAATTGCATTTAACTATATATGAACAGATATAGAGATAGATGATGTATAGATGGAAATTTTGCACAAGGAATGACAATTCTCTGGAAATTAATAGATTTGGTTCAACACGGTTACTTGCATATAATAATTTATTACTGGCATCATAGGGCAAAATAGATCGTCACATTTGGAGAACAATTTGTTTTTGCTATAGGTTAAGCAGAAATGAGAGAAGAGACTATTGGGAAAGTACTCATATAGTCGTCTTAATTATATGCAAATATATATTTAGTGATCAAACTGAATACTGTATGAATGCCAGATAGTTTAAAAAAATAAAAATTTCCTGAACAGCTCTATTGCAGAGTAATACATTTTTCACTGCTGAGCACTAAGGATGATTCACTTTTGCCCAACTTGAAGAAATTTGGTAATTTCTGTGAAAGAGAGGATGATGACTAAATGACAAAATTCTACATAAGTGCTTGCTGATATCTGAGATACAAAACAATGGGAAAGTTATTCTATATTGTGATGACTAGACAATATTACATGTGGTTTATATATTAAGATAAACGTCATTACCAAAGACTGCACATGGAAATGTGAACAGGTGAGTCAGGGTTTTACATGGGATATATGGGTAATAGTTACATGGGGAACTACTGTGAAAGGAATTGAGTATATGGGTAGTTAAACTCAAGAGTGCAGACGAAGCAAGTTGGAGTGGCAGACAAATGTCAAAAAGACCTGAAGTGTTCAAAACCAGTAACTGCTAATGAGCCATTAAAAAAAAAACAACACCCCCTCCCTCTAAAAGCCCAACAAACTAGAAGACAAAAATAAATGAAAACGTTAAGGAAGTTTAGTTTTAAACTCTGATAATGTAATTTTATAATTTGATAGAGTTTTTTTTTTCTTCTTTTTTTACCAGAACTATTGATTATCCATCTTGCTGATTGCCTTTTGCACTATTCCTTGTGTCCCCCTGTTTAGAAAATGTGAGGGCCTTGGAAGTAACCAATAAAAAATGAATGTTAACTTACCATACTGGGATAAGTTTTCACTTTGCAAGTTAAAATGAAAGCATACTTTTGCATTATAAAACCACAGAGCTTACCTTTGCACCCAATTCATTATACTGCAACTTCAAAGCTGTAAGTCTTTCATCCAGTTCTTTCGGATTCTCTGTCTGCTGCTTTTGAACAATCTGCCTTCCAGTTTTTATCACTGTTTCCACTTCAGACTTCACCTCACTCAGGCTTTTATATAATTTCTAATCAAATCAGAATACGAAACACAAGCATCACAATTAAAATAAGTAAAATGGAAATACTCTTGAAGCTATTATACAGATGCACTAGAATTCTTTGCATTGTTTGCTATATAAAAGCACCATCATGCAAGACTGAGCACCTTCAACTCCCCTTAGAAAGCTCATGGAGTTTAGATTGCTCATCACATGCCAGGTGTGTAACCTAAGGATAGAAAAAAGCCTGCACCAAACTTATATAATTAAATGTTTAGAAGACAAAAATTAATCACAGCTTCTAAATCAGAACTCAAATTAATAGATTTAGAACAGCTTACCACTACTACTAATGGTTTCAAAGACATGTCAGTGGAAGCAATGGCAGAAGTGTTTTTACAGACAAGAAAATACAGGCCATCGCTAATTGTAATAACATATGATAAAGGTTGTTTTGAAAGTGATTTAGATAATGCAGTATTTAAAACAACACATGGCTTCTGTCAACTCATACAGCTTCTTGGATGTATTTCAACTATACATAACCACTAACATCACTTTAATAAGAAATCTGACAGTTTTTCTTACTCCTCATTGGAGACTGGTAGGATAGAGGTTTTCCCCTACTGAGTTTAACATTGTTTATAAAATTAAGTAACTAAGGATCTACATGAAAAGTAAAAAACAAGGTTAAGTCAAAATATATTACATAACTTACTACATGTTACTGCATCATTTCAATAACTAACCAGAAAGTCAGGGCAAAACAGTTGTTTAGTAAGCACTGGCAAGCAAGCCACAATACATATGGCTTAACGCTTCTAAAGAGTGATACTACGAAAATGGTAAGCATTGTCCTTTCTTTCCATATGCAGGAAGTCTGGACATGACAACTGAATTTAAACGTATAACTTGGTATCCCAAGCCATTTAATAGCCACATAAATGCCCTAATTAACATCGATATAAGTACTGCAGAAGTTGAACTTATATTTCTATTTAATTTAAAATTGAATTATGCTGTGACATAGAAATTCCAGTGAACTCCACATTGGAAGAAGACTCCACAGAGATACAGAGTATCCATTATCACACAGGTGGGTAAAGAATGGCAAATGTGAAGCTGTTGAGAAGTTTTATTATTGAGCTGTCTAGCTTAATTCTGTGTTCAGGCATTTTGCTGTGACATGCTGGAAATTAAATTTACTGCCCCGTACCCTTTGACAGAACTGCAAAGTAAACTATACTGTACTTTTTTCATTCCTAATTTTTTGAGCTTTTCTCTTAGTCATGGTATCTCACCACAATGTAAAATCTGTCTAGCACGTCTAGACAGTAAAAGACTTTTCTCCCAGTAGATCTGACAAGAAAAAAAAAGCACATCTTCTCTGTAATCTAAGGTTTATTAAGAAGATGATTCTCAATATGATTATTATTTATTATCTATTTACATACTACCTTGCAGTCCAAGGGATCTTAGGTGCCTTATATGATAAATACATTCAACGCTGATAAGCAGTCATCAGCAAATTAGGAAGCTTGTATGATACAGATTGTCCCACAACTGATGGAATAATATGACTGGATTTTTAAAAATAGAAACATTATGAGAATCTTTAAGTAGAGAAAGATGCTCTAAAAACCCCTATGAGGCTTCCCAGAAGTATCACAGCTACAGGGCTGCAACAACTAACTGCTGAGCAGAACTACTTTAATTCAGTAGATGGTATCTAAATACCATATCATTCTGATAAGAATGTGAATTTAAGGGTAACTGCACTTAAGAAAAAATATAATGTAAAGAAACAGCATCAACTTGTTCTATGCGTATTTTTTATTTAAATTCTTACATTTAGATCTGACAGAGGCTCGGGGGCGGGGAGGAAAAAAAACCGTCCTCAGGCATGCCAAAGCTCCACAAAAAGAAGCTGAAGGAGATTGTTCCTAACAATCTGATTGTTCTGATTGTCCATGTTAAAATCTCCATTTTCCTGTTGTCAAAGCACACAGTATTTATCTTTATGTCTACTTCTCTTCAACGTTAAAGGGGTATAGAATTACAGGATAATTGCAGTAGTATACATAGAATTTCCTCATGTTCTTTAGGACATATTCAGGCTTTCTTTTGCTCTTGTGGCTTAAAAAACTAACAGCATGGCAACTCATGAAAGCTGTAATGTAGGTACTCTATGTTTCTCCTTTATGTCTTGGGTTTCCTGCCTAAAATAGATTTCATGCATTGCAACGTCTCTTCTGGCTATATCATGGAGTTCTGTGACTGTATTGTATTGTGGAAAATATAGTCCATCTTGGGAGATAAATTCAAATGCAAGATGGAGGGGGGAATTAGAAAAGGGATTCTAACTTAAGCTCTCATATATTGAAAGTGCATGATCACTATTTAAAACTCAACTGAAATGCAAAATGTTTTGATATTTGAATTTTTTCAGTTTCATGAATAATTGATATTTTGCTTCTCATCCTGAATTCTGGGCAACATTCTGCAATATTTAGCTTTCTCCACATAACTCCACATTTTCAAACATTTTCACTCATATAATTAGTATTCCATGCTTCTGAGAGGGGCTTTGCCATGACAGGAGAACAGAGAAGACCATACAGAAAGGAAAAGTTACAATAAGACCAGAAAAGATGTTAGAGCTATTTCACCATCTTATTGTAGCTTTTGCAAACTTTAAAATTGAATATAACCTTAAGTGGATAATGTCCTTCTAATCTCATTTCCAAGCAAGGAAAGAACTGGGACAATAAGGATCAACCCTTTCTCTCTAATCCCTCTTCATAAACAAGTCCAATTTTAAAAGGATTCCCTAAAAAGGTTCCTGTAACTTTCATTGCATAACTTTGCTCTTAAATCTCTCTCAGAACTTCTTGTAATAACTCCCAAAGAAATACTGAAAACATCATTAAAAATACTTTAAGGTTGAAGGACAGAATAGGGAGGAAACTAATAGAAAATCAGTATCTTTATATATTCACCATGCAATGATCCAACTGTGATTGCACCACTTCCTGCTCAACACTCTTCATCTCCAACTTGGGCACCTGCAATTTCACTTCATCTAAAATTCTTCTACATTCTTGCAGACGCTGTTCGAAATTGGCTGGCTTCTGGAACAAGCGAAACTTCATGGACACATCCTGCAGCTTTTTCTGCAAAGCAAACAGGGGTGAGTAGTAAAAATGAAATTAAGTTAATACTGAAGATAAATCTTAGATCAGTTTCAGAATGCTGAGAATCCACTATCAATCTGTACAGTTTCTCATTCTATATTTAAAGAATCAAAATCTTTTGGGAAAACATCATTTGCAGAGAATCTGAGTTTCCACAGGAGGAGGGAAATTCTTGCCTCATCAAGGACACGGGATGTAGTAGAGCCAATGACCAAAGGACACATAAACTGAACTAAAGAAAGGAAGAATTTACATATTTTCCAATATATAAAAAGTGGGGGTGGAGGTAGGGAGAAAGGTTTAATGGCTTGGTACAAAGAAGAGTTCAAGAGTGAATGCATCACACTCTACCATGATGTTTTGTGGTATAAGGAGTAAATCTTTTAGCCCCTCAGTGAAACACAACTAAAATTTATTGGCAGTAAGTAGGTCTGGAACAAAAGCTGAGATTTAAAGTATAAAATTGATCTCTGTTTTCATTTCAAAAGCCATAACCTAGATAAAAAAGTAGTAATTTGAAGGCAGTAAAATCTGTGACAAGCATGGCTTCTAATTTCACAATTTTCACAATGCATTATCTTAGTCAATTAATCATATTGCTCATTTATATGATCTCTACCCCAGGGGAGGGGAAATAATTAAAATTAATGCATAGAAAAGTCATTTTAATTATTTACAGGACTAAGAACCCATGTCCTTCCAGGATTGTACAGCAAACTTCCAGCAGGAAGTTTCCTTCCTACAGTTTGAAAAGTAGAGTATCACCAAGAAACGGACAAATAATTATATAAGAACTCAGCATTTGCAACTACACTTCTGATTTCTTTTCTTCAAATCCTGGACACTTCATAACATTAATTCTGTTGTCTGCACTACACAAACTGAGAAAACTATAATAGGGAACATAATTAGGCAATATATACAAAAATATATGGTATTGTAAGAATCAGCTTGGCCTTTGAAAAGGGAAATCATGCATCCCATGTCTATTAGATTTCTCTGAAGGGGCCAGTAATCATGTGAAGATGACAATTCTGTGCAACACAGAGTACTTAGATAACCAACACTCTCTTCCAGCAATGTTCCCCTACTAAGCACTTCATGGCATTGAGATCCAATGGAGTAAAAAAGGACTTAGAAATTAAAATTAGTTAAAAATTAGGAAAATAATGAAGAACAAAAAATAAAATACCTGTCACTGTATAAAAACCATTGCATAAAGCTGTATAGAGCCTGAATACTGTGTGCAGTTTTGATCCCCTCATCTCAAAATATGTGTTGTAAAAATAGAAAATGTGTAAAAAATATGTAAAGAAGGATGATAGGACTACTAAAGGTATCGTCAAAGACTTTGGTATGACAACATACTAGTAAGTCTGGAAAAGAGACAACTGAAGGGGAGTGAAATTAGTGGCATGCGAAAGGTTAAAGAGCAAATAATAACTAACTTTCTCAAGATTCACAAAGAAGGTGACATCAAATGAAACTCTTAGATAGGAAGTCCAAAATGAACAAAAGGAAGCATTTCTTCACATAATGTAGTTAAATTATGTAACCAGCCAGCAATTTATATAAGTTCACAGAGTAATTAGACATTATGAGTTTTTAAAACTTCTGACCCAGAAGTTGCTGAGTCGCAAATCACTGGAATGTGGAAGCATGAACTGGGGAAACGTCACTAAATGTTCACCTTATTCTACTTTGTTTCTATTTTCTGGCTACCCCGGAAGACCGGGAATTGGGCTGAATGGATCAGAGGTACATGGACATTCTTAGAGACTTAAAATGTGTAGCTGGCTGCATTCACTGCTTCACACTGACAGCTGAACTGATGGCACCCACGCTGCTTACACTTTCCGATCAGCAGATAAACCTGCCTGGCCCAGAAAAAGAACACAGCAACTGAGGGTAAACAAGTAGACAAGAAAAGTCCTCTACTAAGTCACTGTCATCCATTCCTTCCTTTGAAGAAAAATGGCTTCTTTAGAAGCACAAGAACCATATTTTATTCAAAACAGAAGTACAGACAAGTAAACACTCCAAGAAATAAGAAGTAGCACTAAAATACAACTAACACTGAAAATAAGAGTTTTTCAGAATTTATAGTCAAGCTGTCTCAGGAAACAACACAGATAAAATTAATTTCTGTCAATAATTTAGGATAATGTCATAGTCAACTGAGGATTTTTTTTACTATGATATAATGTGTTTACCTTAAAAGATAGATGAAAATAATAAGGAAAAAAGAATGTCATTCGTCTGCTTCATAAAAACAGATCATCAGGCAAGATTTCACTTTCTTATAAAACTTTTAACCTAGTTCTTTAATCACCATGGTAGAAATAGATTCTTGTTTTGCTAAACTTCTTTTCCACCTCTAGCTTTGAAGACCAGAACATAACTCTCAATCTATAGTAATCCAAAAAGCCAGGATAAGTTTGGTCAATGAGCAGCGGTTTCACAATTACATGGCAACTACTTTGTTTCCTAAATTGCTGTTTATTTTCTGTCTAGATAGTTGAATTAATATTACAATTAGTATATAAGTCAAATAAGAAATATTTTATTTTTTTTTAGTTTTATTTCTTTTTATTTTATGCTTAACACAAAAAAGAAATGCATGAAGTATTCATCTGTACGTGATGCTCTTCAGGAAAAAAGTAAGTAAAGACAGATCTTGTGGAACGTGATCTGCCACTGAAGGTACTCCACAGCAATGCACAATAATTCAAGAGAGTTCACCGGCCTAAAATCAAATACAGTCATAAGTCTTTGGAACAAAATGTTCCAAAATCATATGCTGCCTGCACTTCACTGATGAAACATGGACAACTTCTCAGCTCCTATAGAAACCATCAGAGGTTGACGGAAGACAGGAAAAAAGAGGGAAATGCACATACATATTCTCATCAATGAAAGGCTAGCTAGTCCTGTAGATGAGAGGAAATATTAAAAAATTAACTAGTTCATTTCAAATTAAATAACTTTTTAAAAGCTATCTTTACAACTTGTACATTCTTCTATATCTCATCACCAAAATACTTGCAAGTAAAAGTATCTTCATAAAAACCTTGGTAAAGTAATGTTATCCTCAATAAGACAAAAAACTAAAGCTCAGATACCTGGAAATACCTGACAGCAACAAAGAGATGGCCTTGTTTAATTCTATAACCAAATTCTTCATCTTTCTCTGCCAACAAATTATGACATAGCTAACAACAATAATAACAATAATTTGCTCTGCAACCTGGTGAACTTTGGCACTCATGGCAAAAATAAAATAAGCAAAACAGTCAAGAACCTTCTACAGATTAATGGGTTAAAAACAGAACATGGTTCTTGAGTGTTAATTAAATCTTCTTCAATTTCAAACAGCTCTTTTCATGTTTATTAAGCTGGATGAAATAACATAGTAGCTAGCATTTTAAATCAATGACTGCAATGTGCTGCTCAGCTTGGATTTTAGTACTCTCCTTGCACCCATTGTTTACACTGTGAAATATAAATGAAGATGTAAGAAATAACTTATAGTACAAAGAAAACACTTAAATTGTAGTTTTTTTCTCTTAAATGTAGTTCTACCCAGATTTCCAAATATTTTTAACTCTAAATATTTTTATGTCTATTTTTATGGTATACTAAAAAGCTTCACTGTGGTATCACTTCTTATAACTGTAATACATTCAAAACATCCCTTATATAGTGCTCCTACACAGTCGATTACGTCAGCTCTATACACGCTAGAACTGTTGCCAACTAATTAGGCAGACTATAAGAAAAAATGGCAGTAAGAAAACATAGATGTTATGCTTTATCCATGCTAAATTCCTGGATATAAAGAAGTAGCTAAAATATAAGAGATACCTTAAGAATATGTCATACTATAGTAATAGCAATACTAATGCTGTTTGTTTGTATGAGCAAAGGAAAGATGCAGGGAGTAAAATTTGCATACCTGTGCCACATCAATTTGGGAAAAAACTCTTTTTGCGGCATCCTTACCCCGGTTTCGTTTCTTCATTTCTTCCAAACTAATCTCATGGCTTGTTAATTCAGATTGTATTTTCTGTTGAAAAACAAAGACAATAATAAGAAGTGTTTGAAGAAAATGTTTGTCTTCTTACGATTATTTAGAATAGTTAATTTTGAAGCATATTAAAATAAAAGTTATACAGTATATATTGGATCACTGCAGAAACTTATACAAAGAATTACGTACTTGCTGCCCTGTAAATTATTCAGTTTAGTTTTTTTTGACAATGTCTGACATTGTGACCACAATGACATAATCTTCCTAAGGAAATCATGACCAAACTGCAGATAAAAATATAGATTTCTTTCTTCTGAAGAAAAGCAACTATTTTCATGGGGAAGAAAATTGAAAAGTAGAATAGAATAGAAATAGAAAAGGAAAACACAAATAGAAAAGAGATTTGCTTTGCTATTCCTGTATCTTGTTTATTATTTTCACAGTATCATCAGAAGAGTTGAGAGAAATCTGATCAAAGTATCTTCTATGTATAACAACATTTTCATGTCACAGATGTTGTGCTTTATCTAGGACATTATTCAATTTGTGGCATGTTACTAACCAGAATCTATCTTCAGTGTGTGTAAATATGGTAAATGCATAATGACATGTAGTACACTACTGCACTGATTTTATTCATTTTCTAACGTTTCTGGCTTTCACTTTTTGCAAGAACCAGCATGTGACCAAATCACTACAATAAAAATATCAGCTTTGTTGGCTCAACATAAACCAACCTTACAAGAAGAAATAATTAACTTAAGCAATGCTGGACAGTGCAATGCAATGGAAAAAAAAATAATATATATTGCTACAACATAATTCAGAGTATTCACGTAATTTTACATTGAAATTGTTAGAAAATGAGAATTTGGTATAAGTGAAATTGCTAGAGAAATACTGCTAAGCACAACTGCTGTATGAAAGAAATACAGGATATTTCCCTACTGGGAAAGATACTTAAGGCCTATACTCCTGCAAGAAAAATTGATTTTAGATTTAACTTTTTCCCCTATGTTTTACAAGCATTTCTCAAATATACGCAAAACTAGCTGTGAATTTAAATATATGCACATGCATTTATCTTTATACTACAGTTACTTATAAAATATGAAATTTATAAAGTTCAAAAAAGAAGACTATAATGTTAAAGAATTATGCAAATAAGGAAAAACTGTTTTCAGTTGTACCTCGATTTTTTGAAGTTTGATTTTAAGTAAAAAAAAATATAAAAGTATTTGCTAACAACATCTTCATAGGTTTTTAATTATAAAGCTGTGTATATTGTACACTCTACCCTCTAGGGATATTACAAGGTTATGACTTGCATATAAATGTATCATGTATGTAATAATACTAGATTTAAAGCAGTTTCTCACAAATTATAATAGAAATATAATTTGAAATAGAATAATAATGTAGAAATACATTTTAGGAGACAAAGACTTACAAAAAAACACAGTAATTAATTAAGAAAATATATTTATGAGTCTCATCTATCTAGTATTCTACAGAGAAATAAAATATTTTTCTGCAGGAAAGCATTTGTAAAGTAAAATCTTTGACAGAAAAATAAATGTAAATGTAAGTTTCATTTACATGAAAATTTTCATTAAAATTTATCATAATTGTACTTTTTCTACTTTTCAGAGAGTATTTTGACTTCTCATTGTCAAAGCCATTTATTGAATGGTTAGTTACATTTGGAGCAAGTAATAGCATTTTCTAAATGCGATATTTTACTTTTGAGAAAACAAGGAAGGTCAATTGCAAGGACAACGCAATACAAGGAGATAGAGCTTATTTAATAGTTTAGAATATTTCTTTTCCGTTTGTTTAAAATTTCCCTCTTGAAGTGTACAAGGAGCGTAAAAGGATGATTTACCATTTGTACAGCAAATGGACCAAATTGTTGACAGTGACTCAGAGTTAGTCAACTAATTTCTTGATGTTTTGGAAGTCAGAACTGTATATGCAAAGAAGATAGGAGTCTGAATGTCATAAGAACATACTATATCACACTCAGTGTTTCAACTGTTTGCTTCTGCCTTTAGAGCACCTCGTCAATTAACTGATTTTGTGCTCTGTTTTCCAGTTTACTTTGCTCAACCTCAGAGTTGTTCTGGAAAGCATATAATTGAAACATTCTTATCTGAACAGGTCAGGACAGCACAGCAGAGATAAGAGTAGGGTTTTAATAATTAGGTGTTAGGGGACATTCCATGGAGATTGTTCTATCTACCCTTTTAAAAATTGCTCTGCAGGACAGAGATGAAGCATCACCTTCCCTGACATCAGATACGGAATTAGAGGGAACAAGCACATTAGAGGAAAGCATGAAAGAACAGTAGAAAAGATTATAGCAAGAAAAGATTTTCTGTAATTGCCACCGCTGCTCACAGTCTCAGTAGAAAGATTAAACTGGTTCTGAACAGACACAAGATAATTTATGATACCTGTCTGTGCTCCTTTTCATTCAATTGTGACATGACCAATTTGATATTCTATATTACATATCACGCCTTTTGACTCATGGATTTATTACACAGACTTCTTCTAAATTTCCATAAGAAAACACCAATTTTCTTCATTTCTGCTATTGTTGCCTCTGTTCTCCTCAGTGCTTCCTGCCTATATTGTCTTTCAATAGAGAGTAAAACCTTGCAGCAAGAACTGTTTTCCTTTCATTTCTTGCACACTGCAGTATAATGTAGGGTATGTAACTGATAAATACCACTGTGCTTAAATTATTCTGTACTATAGGTTATGGATTTTCATTTTCCACCACTCTTTGTTAGGCATTTTTCAAGGCAGTTTATTAATCTAGAAAATTTATACACAAACACAGATGTGTGTGTGTGTGTGTATATCTATATATCATATATATATATATATAAACAAAATGAAATATACACTATTAAAGGGATTGCTTTAATATTGTAATCAGGGTTACTTCTAGAGCAAAAGGATTCCAGTCACAGGGGCATTCAATCCATTACTTCTCTCAATTACTCATCTTGATTTTAAAAAGGTGAACAGTGAAATGAAGACAGCCTTGCTACATTGACATCAAAAAGCAGAGAACTGGCAGTGTAGCTAGTCTGTGAAGAGCCTTTCATACCTTGAATCAGAGAAAGGAAAGCCAAAAGAACTAGCATTACAGTTCTGTCATTTAAAACCTGAGATAATGTGCTACAAACGTACCTGCAATCTAATGCATCTGTAACTTTTTTTTAAAAAAGCTAATAGAGCATAAAGACAAATCCTGCAACATGTTTTGCAACAGAATCTTGAACTATAAGGCTTAACTAAATGTCACTACACATCAATACCTGATAATATAATTAGAGAATCAGTATTTAATAAAATAGAGAAATGCCAGTTAGCAATGATCAGAAAAATTAGAACAACTGAAATTAATCTGGAGAAAAACCCCTCAGGTATTTAATTAAAAGTAAATGATTTACTTACAATCAAAGAATAAAAACACCAAAACATAAGAGCATACATTAAACTAATATTGTGGAATAATGGAAAAGACAAGGTAGCTGTAGTCTACAACTAATATGCAGATATAGATTTTAGTACGATTAACACTGAAAAGACTGCACTACAATAACAGTCCCAATCAATGCAGTATTAGCAAATTGCCAAAAAGTTTGGAAGATATTCTGAAAAAAAACCCAGTATTAAAACATCCGTGAAACTGCTCTCTTAGGGCAGGCCAAGGATACCATCTTCTTTCCCAGAACGAGAGTTCACCTTGTTTATCTGTGTATCTATCTGATACTGCACATTATGCTCCAAATTGCCTTAATTTCAAGTTGCCTGACCTCACTGTACTTTCTTGTACTGGTTGCCAGAAATTCATAACACAGGCAAGGCTTACATTATTCTACTGACAAGGTCAGCAAATTAATAACTTCTCGAAAGCTGGACAAACCCAGAAGAAAAAAGATTGAAATGATACGTGTACTAACATGTTCCCAGTTGGAACAGGGAAGATATAATTTGAACTTAGAATAAGCAACTAGTAGGTATAACACTTCCCATGACATAACACTGAAATGAGAACGGTCAATTTCTTAGTCTGAATTTGATATATAAACTTGCACAGTAAAAAATAGCAAACATTATGGATTATTAGTCATGAAACACTTGCAGCAAAAGGATTAGGTTAAAGAAAAGCTGTTAGAATTAACCAAACTTCTCTCTTCTTTTTGATCTCTTTTTCCCTTTAAAGTCTACTGCAGGAGAACAGTAATTCATTGAAATTCTCTTAACTAAGTAAAAACATGATTTCTAAAATCTGTTCCCACACAAAAGGGCAATTTCCATTCTTCGACAAGACCATAAACTGGCCAGATCCTCAGAGAGAAGTATGTCCTGTTTTCTCCACAGGAAACTTGATGAAAGATACCAAAAGGCTTTCAATTCTAAAGCAAAGGTTTATTGAAACGCCAGGTGATACCCTAGAGCCAGGTAGCCCCTTAAAGAGAGGTCACTCAAGATACATAGTAAACAGAAAGACTTTTTTTATATACCTCTCTCTGACCTTGCAGGGTTGGTCCTTTCCTCACAAGATATTTTTCCTGTCTAGCAACTTTCCTGTCCAGTCCCTTTGCACATAGTCTTTTGAGAACGCAGTATGCAAAGCAGGCTCACAAAATAAACTAGGAACAAACTAAGCAGTTATACCATCTTTTACTATACCCATGCTAACCTCGCCATATTCCACATCCTCCAGCAAAATAAATCAGGCAACACAAACACTGGGCAATAAAATAGTGTTTATTTCTCAATAACTGAAGATTACACTGCCAGACCAGTAAGTCTTTCAGCACTGAGTGGTGGCTCTGGAGCCAAGGACAATCACATTAATTTCAATCTCTTCCACTGGTTGTTCTAGGAAAAGAAGTTCTAATTTTAGCATGATACATCACTTTTCTACCATGGATTTCATTAAGACCTACCACCTAAAAAGGCTTGGAATTGCCAGCAATTCTGCTTTGCAGAGTTTTTGCAGTGGCACCACAATAAGGTGATAATGTGACATGATTCAGGCATAATAGTGAACCTCTAATTGTTCTCTGCTTTTATATAAACTAATTCATTATGAACTCTTATACCAAAATTGTCTAGACATAAAGTTGCAGTTTTGGCGGTGATTTGCTCATGTAGTCCGCAATGTGAAGATATAGAAAAAAATCAAATATTTATTTTTCATGTAATTGCATAGAATATGCCTTATAATTGCAATTACATGCCTTTTCTTGAATTGCAGAGAACAGCTTGCCAATTCCTCTTGGTGTATTAGTTTTTCTGATTTATAGTCCTGTAAATAGCATTCAGGCAGCATAGCTGAGCTTTCAAGAATGGTGCTCAGTTTAATCTCACTTTTGCTTATTTCAGTAATGGTTTAGGTATAGAATCATTATAAAATACTGAGCCTAACAGTACGGATTATTTACAATTAAATTGCTAGCCATTACTAGCCAATTCCCATCAGTGCTTAAGGAGTTAAATCTGAACCCGATGTACAGAGAAAAACATACATTTAGAGAGCATTCTGATAAATCAGATTTTATAAATTGGAAGATCCTGATTCTAGGAAACATTAAAAAACATATCTGAGGCAATTTCAGAACTGTTAGTGGTTACCTTTGAGAACCCTGAAAAGATGAGGAAGGTAGCAGAAGACCAGAAAAATGAAGTTAAAATACCCATGTTTAAAAGTATAAAAAGAAAGAAAGAGAAACTGGGAATTTTAGCATTTCAAAAGCTGAATGATGTTATCAAAAGCCAATGATGTTACGCTTTTACCAAAAAAATGGAGATCAAATAATCTTATATATACAAGACGATGATACAGCCTGAAAGTCAAACAAGTACCTCTACTCTGGTAAAAGTCTCAACAAGAAATAAGTTTTGGGCACCACCTTCCAAGAAACACTAACTGAAGAGAGTGCAAAGGAGAACAGCAAATCATCAGAGGATAGAAACATTACTGATGAGGAAAGACTGAAAACATTGGACATGACAGATATTAGCTTCTTAATGCAGTACAAGGTGTTCAGATGCTATGGAGATGAGCAGAGAGTAAGAACAGTATTCTGAATAGATATTCAAATTTAATTACATAACAAAATATGAGCTTACATTTCTAAATAAAGTTTACCAGCTATTCCCTTTTTGACCACTGATATTCTACACATTGCTGAGCAAGATAATTCCCTAAATTTCCAACACAGGAAAAATAGGTGTAAGCATCTTTAACATTACAGTTTACTAAGTAGACAATCGTGATTTCTTTGTCCCAAAGTATTAGTTTGAAGGCAATGATGCATGGCATTTTTCCCATTAAGTAAGACATCACATAACTGAACAACTCAGCTATTATAGCATCACATTAACTTTGCTTTCAAACATACCACACTAGTATTTTAACAACAGATTAAAAGCCATTTTCACTTAGGAAATAGTCAGACATGTAGTGCATGTCACTGCACAAGTGTAATTAAGGAGTTTATTGGAAAAACAGGGTATGGTATTTGCTTTTCTGAGAAACACAAAGTTGTTCATTTATTCTGCACACTGCGTTTTACGTAAGTCTACAAGGAGAACAACAGACAAGTTTTTTGACACATTCAGTTATTTGTCCCATAATATCAAGAAAACAGGCCACGTCTCAGACTAAATAGAAGCACAGAGCTGAGACTCTCCCCCACCAAAAGTTGTTATTTAATAATAAAGCTAAAAATAATTATCTGAAAAATATTTTGTCATATAAATGTAACGTTTTCAGTATGGAATTCTTGTCTTCCTATTAGTTAAAGGGCACTTGAGGAAAGTCAGCAACTGGCAAGTTCCTGTGATGATGACTTCATTCCTTGTATTATCTTGGCATATTTATAGAAATGAAAAAGAGTTCAGTTAGGCAATGAGATCAAGGATGCAAACAAATAATCTTTCTTCTAGAATATTTTTTTAGGCTTTCTCTGTTCTAGCCTTTCTTCATTAGTATGCCCTGAGGAATCTGAACTGATTTATCTATGTGGTTCCTGTTAGACTGTTTTGTCTGAATATAGCATCTTTTTCAGTCGTCCTCAAAATGAATCGATTAGTTGAAAGTTTATTAGGTGGCTGTGGCTCTCTAGCATTAAATTCTCAGTGCCACATGGGGGAGAAAGAAGCACATGAAATTTGCTTTCAGAAAATGATCCAAAGGAGACATACTTAATCCTGAGGATTTCTGTTTCTTTCTGTCAGCTTTCTGAATAAATCAAACAGATCATTTGATTTAAAAAGACTACCAAAATATCATCATTTGCTGAGATTCATTTCTGATCAGCTGAAACAACAAAAGACGATTGCTCCTATCAAAGCTACAAATGGATTTGAATTTTTGAAGCAAACACACAGATACATAGAACCCACAAACTCTCAACGTTTTTCCGATGATAAATTCTTCCATATATTCTTTTAGAAATGCAACATGTTGCTGAACAGTTTGCTAAATCTCTCAGCATGGAAAAACCGACTCCCACCCAGAAGCTACCATCATTGACCGAATGAGTCTCATTCCAGCTGTGCAGACACTGTTGTAGGCATCTTATATAAATGAATTGCTTTGAACTCTATGAAAGAGCTGTGCCAGCACAGGCTCCGTTAGGAGTTGTGATCATTCGGTATGTACCTATTCTGCTATTGTTTCAGCCTGGCTGCTCACTAACGGAACGAATCTGTCTATTTACCTGTTTCGAATTCATTGTACATTTCCTTTCCCCCCAAGGATTTTAAAGAACTTCAAAGAACTTCAGAGAACTTCAATGTTTGCATTAAATCTGCTAGGCTGTTAATTTAGTTTTGTTCAATTGATCCAACTTGCATCTTAAAATAGAAACACAAAAGGGAAAAACTCAGTAGCCTCTATGCTGGTTTTCCCACTGTGGATATATTATAAGCAGGTGAATTCAATGTCAGACAAAAAAGCACAAGAACAAAAACAAATCCTGCAAAACTACTGAACTTGGTTTTTCCTCTGAAAAAGTGTGCCAGTTAAATGTGGCTGAATTTTATGCTGCTTCAGTAGCTGAAGTTCTGAATAGACTCTTATACAAAGTCTGTGATCATTGTCAGTATTATATTTAAACCGGATGCTTCCATGGGAGATATGAAGCACCACTGAAAAATGCTACAATGTATAGGGTCCAAATGCAGCAGAAAAAAGCATGTTTACATATCAAGTTTTCTTATGTGTTAGAGTTATATAACAAGATAAAAAGTTAAACTGATATATCGTTAATAAATGCTGGTTTATATTCTATTTCATCTAATAATTCTCTACATTAATCACATTTCAAGGAAGAAAAAAAGTAATTTAAGAGGGTTAAACGACCATTAATATAGTTTAGGATTCAAACTGGAACAGTAAGTCATCTGACTCTGATCCCATTCTCACACTGCGGTAAGTTAGAAGCAACTAAATCAGAATTAATTTCAAAATAAGACTGAATGCAAATACGATCTTATTTTCTAAATACAGTTTTTTTATTCATACTCACACACACATAAATATCTGCATATACCTACAAATAAACACACTAGAAAAGAAATGGAAAGGTGCAACTATCTACATTTTAATTCAAAAGACATGGAAACTTTTAGTTTTAAAGGACATAAAATATGATTTTCAGGGCTGTATTACTGCCACATTTCCTTTACATTTCAGCAGGTTGTATAGACGATCAGCTGCTATGCGAGCAGGTCTTCAGACTCTTACAACATCTCTGAATACAGAGATGTCTTGTAAGACAACCGTATTTTAGAATGTTTTAAAACTATACAGGCAAGACAGAAAAAAAACACAACTGAATGCATATTCTAAAAATCATTATAAAGCTTTCATTTTCAATTTTCCCATAGCCTTTTTTGTTTTGTTTTTGTAATCAGTCTTCCTAAATTTAGGTTAAACTTACAGAAAAGTTGTTACTAATCACTTTATACCAGTTATTTGACTTTATTTTATCTTGCATTTTCCCCATTTTAATGATGCTGTAAAGCTGATGTTAAAGAGGAAACACTGAAAGAGTACAAATGAGAATTAAATGTATAATTTTATTTCAAATTCAAAGGCTAAATAAAGCATTTGTAAGGAAGGGAAAAAGAAGTGTTTAGTTTCTATCAAACTTATATGAGATGTAGAAATTATAATATAGGCATATTTATGTGCACATTATGTAATAATTAATAACGTTGTCTGTGCTTCAATAGTTTAGGAGCAATCCCTAGGTCATGTAATCAGCTTTGCAAAAGAGTCATCTAAGAGTAGTGAAGAAGATGAGTTTCTTCTTTCTAGGATAAGAATGGATTTCAGAGTCACATTGTTTATTACTGTCATTTTAAAGCTGCTGCATAGTCTTCTATATCATTATTAGTTCTCTCTATCTTCTGGACAGGTATAGATAAAACAAAAGGAAAATAAGAATTTACCCCCAAATTAACTTGAACTTCTCAGAGTAATCCTACCTTAAAGTCACTTGCACCTTAGTACTGATCATGTTACATATGCCCCTTATTAATATGAGCCTGAGAGACACCAAATACTCCTTGGTTGATTACGAAAACCAGTAATCACACCAGCTCAACCTGTATATAACTTACCTGTGCTTCCTGAGGGACCTGGGCTGCATCAACTCTGTCTGCAATGTAGGCTGTTAACTGCTTGTCAATAATAGCAAGAGACTCTTGGATTAATCGGAGGGTTTTGTCAATCTCCTGGGCAGACTGAATACTCTGTTCAAGACTCTTCTGTCTTCTCACGGCCTAAAAGCAATGACAATTGCAATTATTAATTATTAATGCTACTACTACTAACACTTATTATACAATTATTTCTCACATATTGCTTTTTTTTTCAAAAAAAGTAGGCTAAGAATCAAAAATAGTACTCCTGAATTGCACACATCAACCTTTTTGTATGATAAACTGCGCATCTTTTTGCCTCCCATTCAATTTTTTTTAGCAAGAAAGAAATAAATAAGAAGCCCCAGACTGCACAGACAAGTTCTAAAGATTGCAGGGCCCTGGGAAACCAGTGCATGCACTGAGGATTTCTACAGAGAGTGGAAGCCAGCAAAGCTGCATGATAAAACCATCCTGATAGTGCAGTCTTTCACTCTGAGGCATAGTGGTCCTCCCGATCTCATTATATAGTTCAAGAGATTTTATTTACTGAGAACAGGGTTACTGTCATCACAATCCCATCCGAGACAATCCACTTCAGTAAGAGAGGGATAAAGACTCTCTCAAGAAAGAGCTCTCACATGTGAAGTATAAATAGCTTCCCGGAACAGAGACATTGCCTACTCTGAAAAAAAAAGACGGAGCCTTGTCTTGTCTGTGGACTTTCCCAGCCTGTCTTTATTCTGACCATAGTCTCTTGTAGTCTCAGGTGTTGACTCTTGCTTCTTTTTGACTATAAGTACTGCACTGGATTGCTTACTGTCATTATACAGTTCTTTTCTCCAGAAAGATGCTTCCCTTTCAAAGGAGTTCCCTTTAAGGTTTATTGAGTCATAACATTATTCTCCTTCAAATTTGTCCTGAAAACCCACCCACATTTAAACACTTGACATAAATGATTTAGTATGCTTTTACTATTATTTGTAACAAGTTAATATGGTAATTACCAGGTAATAACCTGGTATTTTCTTGTCGTACTTAGAGTACAGCCTCTGCTGAGCAGCATGCCTGCTCTGTACGCAGGACATAACAACTAACAACAGTCTCAAATACAACACACATTTTTCTCTGTACAAATCCAGCCATACTGCTGACCACAGAATAAAGTGACTAACTCTCTTCGATTATATGAATCAAAGGAGGAGAAAGAAAGCAAGCACTCTTTAAATAACATTGCTAGGTGGCCTGCCATTTTTCAAGCCAAATCACTTTTTTTTTTCTCTTTGGTGAACCAACCATATTTTGATTTCACATTGAAATATCGATATATTCGATCTCACAGCTCCTAGGAAATTCTTGACTGGAACAAAAATATATCTCAGCAATGCAGTAAGAATTCTTGACATTCCTTTAAGTTCTTCATGGAGCTCAGCCTCTTTTAGAGCTTCACACTTAATGAATGAAAAAGATTATTTATTGCAATCACTCTTGCTACTTTTGGAATTATTAAGGTATAGGACCCAATCAGTATTTACTATATCTGTGTTTGTAAGCTGCTTTGTGCTATTTCAAAACAGCTGATCAGATAATCTTGTATCACTGCCAGTTCCAGGAATCTTCTGTGGAACTGAGCAGCTTTGCTTATTGGACCCATGTTGTCAGTGTTAATGGCAACACCTGAGCCACTAAGGTAATATTACTCAACCAAATGAACCATTAAAACAGTGTTACTTCCCAGCACAGTACTATGGCTTGCTACTTAAATGGCTTTTATTTTCATCTGATTTGAGATTTTATATTAAAATGTTCTCAGCCTGCTCAGAGCAGCAGGGTTAAAAACCCCAACTTCCATTTACCTTGGCAGTCCCTAGTACTTAATTGCAAGCCTGGCTAAGACACTGTCACTCTTTCTCTTTCCATTTGCATCACTATATAAAACAGTGAAAAATACACTAGGCCAGCGAGAATGTAAGTAGGTTTCTATAGCTCCTGATAAGGGCATCTACCTGGAAGCATGGAGATCTGTCTCCGAGAAGAAAATCTCTCACATTTCCAGCCTGCCTTTACTGATCTCTGGCTAACTGCTAAGACCAAACTATGTTTTTAGTTCTTTTGTACTGAGGGCTGTAGTGTTCCGATGTTCAGAAGAGCTCATTATTTAAAATAAGACACTGAAAAAGTTCCATTATTATTTGTCATTAACATATGTGCTGACACTTTCTGGAGAATTCAGTATACTGGTGCTAAGGCCTTTTGAAAAATGACGTTTATGTTGACCCATGCTAACTACTATTTGCAGCTAGACGCTTGCTTAAACATACATAAATTTGTTTCCAGCCTCTGGAACAGCCAGCATGTATGCAGTGAAATGTGCTGCCAGACCAGGGATCTGGATTTTACAGTAGTTATCAGTGCATGCAAATTCACAAAAATCTTAAAAATATATGACAATATGAGGTGACTAAAAAGTTGTCATCTCTATGCAGAAAATATGCACATCAAAATTATATTTTTCAAATAGAATTTGAAAATGAAAATATTCCTAAACTCATTGATCTAATACTAAAGTAGATAAAGCCACAAAATAATCACAGTAAATCCTTGGCCAAATTTGACTGATTTGTTATGGCTGGATTTCAAATTAATATGAAGTCAGATAAATATAAATATGTGTATGTTATGAATATGCATGCACATATGAATTTTATGTCCACACAAAGTAAACATACACGCATATACACAAACAACCACAAAGCACTCCCCTTTCCCTTCCAGAAAACAACCAACACTACGGGAAAGAAATTTCATTCTCCTCCATACTCAGTTGATTATAGTCCAAGGACCTGTGTGGCATTTTGTATCTATCAGTTGAAAGTATACCTTTTCCATGAAACATGACACAGCTTGAATGGATGGATAATACCGGACCCAAGGTGTGAATTCATTGTTACAAGTGAGGAATTATTCTGGCAGTGGGAACGCAACCACGGAACCTTAATACTAGCACATGAAACCTTCACAGCTATCATCATATTTCTCCAGTATATATCAGCTGACTTCCCCAAATTAATCCTGCTCACTGAGTACATCCCTGTCATTATTACTGGCATTGCAGAATACTTATCTATTCAATCAAGAAGAATGCAAGAATATGGAGGATGCTTCTTCCTCCTCTTTCAGAAGAAAAGAGGGTTAATGATGGAGGTATCAGAGGGCTTTAAAACAAACAGCAGACATACTTTCCCCTCATGACTGTGAACCTGAGTATCAAATTTGACCTTGAAATGAGCATGTGTGTGTGTGTGCATGCACAGATGTATATGTCTGTTTTAAAAGACCTTTGAAAGTTAAAATGGCTTATATATACATAATATAAATACATTTTATTTTATGGTGATCTATTTTGTTTATTTCTGTGAAAGAAAAACATATTTTTATATTTCCTCTGCGGAAGAAATAGATAGGTTAATACTGCAATATATAAATGGCTCTGAGCTTGTAACAAGCTCCAGCTCTGCTATCAGATCATAGTTAACAAAGCTGAAGGCTCCAATCTCCAAAGGGAATTGTCTCACAGTTAATCGCTAAATGGGAAATCTCGGGGAAATAACCAACTGTTTAGTTATTTCTGAGCCAGTGAAATGTTGACAGCTGTCAAGGAAAGTAAAAACAAACATAGAAATCTGCTGTTAGGAAATATTAGAGTGAAGGAGGAAAGAAAATAAATACATGATCTGAATCTTTTACGAAAGTCTCCACAATTGTTTTATAGATTTTTTGAAGTTGTTTTTCATGATTAAGCATAAATATTTATTTTATGGTATGAAGAATTGCAAAAATCTATTTACGATTCAATAAAGATCAATGTTTGGTAAACTTGGGTAAACAACAGCAAGGCTGTATATTATCCATATAAAATGGCACATTAAGAGGAAGGATACACTGAGGGGCAACCAAATACTAGGAAATCGGAGGTTTTCAAGTACTTATTTACGTTAGTTCATTCTCTGATGCTGACTATTGTAAAGCTATATTTAAAGACATTAGTCACATTTCTTACATATTACTGAGATGCTAGTTAATGTTTCATGGTTAAATACTGGCAGAGCTCTGTTGTTGAAGCAGTACTCAGTATTGGTACTGTGGGAGAAAAACAGGGTGTATCTTTTCCTAAATTATAATATTTTGACTACAGGGTATATTTATTTATAACGCAGGAGTGAATCCGCTAATTAGCCTAGGAGTTACAGCTTATGGAATGAGGTCAGTGAAGAAACACAGAACTAGACAGAGCACTTTTGGGGCACAGTTATATCCTCTAATTATTGAGAGACATTACCACAAGGTAAAGTTAAAAGCTAGAAAACTTAAACTTTGAATTTCATTCTTAATGTGTTTAAATTACTTTAAAATTTAACTGAAGTCTGGGCTTCATAATAGCTGTGACTGGGAAACATCACATAAAGATACAGTGTGAAATACCAACAAGATTTCTGTAGAAGGTTTTGATGAGTATGTCGACAAAATATATTAGAAATGCATTCACGGTTTTCCAATTTAATTTAAATGAGGAGAATAAAATTGGAAAAAAAAAGCTCCCCCCTTCCTGGAAAGCTAGAAGATCTGAAATTTAGTAGTAGAATATTAACTGTGAGATCTCTGTCTGAATATAAGAGGTGTCAAGAAACTGTTTGAATCACAAGCGACTCAGTTACACTACTTCTCAACCTTATGGCTACCTCTTTCCACAACAAAATGTTTTATTAACTGTTCCACTAACTCTTGCATACTTTGTTTCATAGATTCCTGACATTGAATTTTCTGTGCTGTTTGTTTAGCCCTATTGAAATCCAAATAGTATGCATTCTCCTTTCATAAAAATGCATTGCAAGTACAAAATAACACAATGCAGCTTGTGTTCAAGGTCACTTCTTCAGGCTGGCTAATAGACTATCCTAACGTGATTAAGTTATTTATTTTTATTTGAATAATTGTGCAGGTAATTACCAAGACAATAAGCTCATGTGGGCAAAAATATGAATGTGAAATATTTATTCACTACTAATAGAGCAACCAAACCAAACCATCACCATATGAATGATTCTGCAAGGCAATACGGAATTGCTACTGTGGTAGAGATTCATTTTTAAAGACAGATAACGGTTTTATGTTTGTATGCCTTATCTCCGTTAGTTAACAAGGACAGAGTGTGTTTAGTTCTGCCTTTCAACATCTGGGGCTCATTGATAAGCAACATACACCCTGTCTTTACTTTTCAAGGACTGATTCACTTACAACCGTTTATATTGCATCTACAAAACACTGTTGCCTGAAGAAGTGCAAGCTAATATTGCAAGTGGCTGTTATTCCCTGTAATGCTGAAAGTGATTTACATCTTCGCCAACAAATTTCAGAGAAATTAACCAGATATTTATTCTTGAAAATACTCTTATGTAAACTTGTATAAAACGTTACCACTCAGATGGATTACTAGAACTTGCAGAAGAGTTAATTCTAGCTTGAGAATATGGGAAATACTTGGAATCTTTGGACAGGAAAAGTGATTTAGTGCCTGTTACTGTGAAGAAAGAACACATTTTTCCTTTACACAGCAAGAGAATTTGAAAGTCCTGTTCTCACACACAGAAACCCTCTGAATCTTGCCAGTTTTCTGTACCAAGTCATGAAAAATCTGTTAATAAGCAACAGAATCCCAGGGAACTTATCTGCATTCAAACAGAAGTTGCAAGTCAATTAAAAAAAAAAAAAAAAGCAAAGCTACAAAAAGTTTATTTATTTTTAAAATTTGTTTATTTTTCCCTTAGGACACTGTCTAGCAATATGGGACTATATAAATGCCCACACTCTTCTCCTCACTACCCTTCAAGTTTAAGTTTAGAACAGTTGAGGCCTCTGTCTTAATTTTTAGTGTAGTGCTTTACTCCCCCTGTTCTTACAGCTACTCCTCAATCATCATGAAACAAACAAAAAAAGAAGGGTCATTGTTGTAGTAGATTGTTATTATTTCTTCACAACTGCTTTCCAAAATCTTTCCTTATGTATTGCTTTGCCACGGAATCTGCATAACTTTATCTTCTTTGAAGCTCACCTCTAAAACTGTTTTATTTCTAATTAATTATTTTTTCAAACGGGACTCCTGAACTGCACACAATATTTGAAATGTGGGCAAATCATGGATATACACAGTGTCATTATGATGGTCTCTCTTTTCTTCTCTGATTCTTTCTCTAATACTGATACTCAATTTGCCTTTCTGACCTTTTTTCACATAATAAACTGACATCTTTCTGATATTTCTCTTCCTAACACTAAGAGTTTCCTTCTGCGTACTAACAGTCAACTTAAAAGTTCTGTTTTCACATATGAAGTCAGGGCTGATTGTCCTCCATGAGTATCACCTTTCACGTTTTTACACTGAATTTTATCTGCAATTTAACTGCTTAGTTATTTTGTCCTGTAAGATTGTTACGTATTTCTTTTTGCATTTGTCCTCACCCTTACTACTACTCTACTGATTTGTAGTAAACTACTAGTAGTTCATCTTATTTCACCCTTTGGTCTTCTGGATGGTTTTGGTGAGTTTTATTTGGTCCTGCCATTACACACAGACATATACATTTATATTAGCACACACATAAAGATATATTAAGTAAAGTTACAAATATTCCAGTTTCGAACTGATTTAGCAGTAAAAAGTACACTGTCTCATTAGCAGGATCTGTCAAAGATGTAAAATTTTCTTCATGGAGTCAGTATCAAAGATGCAAAAAGCTTTTCCAGTCTCAGGAGGAAACATGATATTCACATATTGCTAGATTTCACTTTTCTTGTGTTAGATATGTTTCTGTGTTGAAGTCTCTGTATAAAACCTTTTATTAACATAAAAATCCTTTATTAATTATTCAGCAAAGAATATACCTGCAAGAGAACATTATTTTTGACATTTAATTTTTAAACTACAGTTTGCTTCTCAAAAAGAGTTTTGGCAGAGTAAGAGGTTCTAAATATGACAACTAAATATTAAATCTACCAAATGTGTTTTTCAAAGAAGGTCACTTGAATTTTGAAATGTCAGGGCAACTGCTCCACTTCTAAAATAAGTCAGTGTTTGTGCACTGCTTAGGAACTATACCAACCAAATAATCTTAAGGTGCTAAACTGTCAGCTGTTGAATGGGAAGAAAGCTCTATTATTACAAATACCTCCTGCTGCAGTTCTTCCCATCGAGTATTGAATCTCTCCAGCTTCTCATTTATCAATTCATCCAATATTCCACCATCAGTTAAAGTCTGGGCCAATTCCCGAATCTGATTGCGATTATCTTCTGGATGCCTCATTAAACTTTCCAAAGACTGAAACAAGGCCAAAAAAGTAGTTTGTTCTGCTTTCTCTGACTCAAAAGAAAATTCTAGAGAGCAATTCTAATTTTCTTCAAAACGTAAGTATGAAAGTTCACATTTCAGACACAGTAAAAGTAGAGAGAAAAAAAACATATATCAACGTCCTATTTTGATCAACAAATTTTCTGCATTAAGCACTAACAAAAAACATAGAATGATATTTCACAAAACAATAAATTAGGTGCTTGATCTTAAACATGTGGACTACGTCCAATAAGTTCATTTGGAGAAACTGTGTACTAAAAAATGAAAAATTTACTAAAGTATCATCTTAATGGATGAAGTCCAAGAGCAGAAATGCATTATCAGTGTAACATTTTGCATTTTGAGCAACTAAAAGTATTAAATTAATTTCTACAAATTCAAAAGATTCCATTAATAAAAATAAAGTAATAAAAAAACACAAAAGTTGTGATGCTAGGATGAAATCTCACTCTCTCTGAAGTCTTAAAGGATTTTTGACTTGGGCTAGTGGGGCCAGATTTTTTAAGAGTACATGGTCATCATCACTGAAGACTGTGTATGATATCAGGCATAACATGTCACATGATAACATATCATAAGGAGTATTTCATCACTTAACTAGTCTATTTCACTAAAGCGAATCTAAATAAACAACCTGATTTGTTGAATCAAATGAGAACATTACACTTTCCAAACATTCTGCATCTTGCTAATGTGCAATGCTGATTTGTAGTTTGTTTTGAGTGTAATGCAATTACAACTTCTCAGTGCATCTGATTTAATATTATTTAAGTCAGCACTTACATCCAATGATTCAGAAATCTCTTCTGCACCTCCCTGGATATTTTCAGTTGCCTTGAGTTTCAACTCCATCTCATTCAACCATTTATTTTCCACATCCAAATAAGACAATAATTCACGCCAACACGCCCATACCTCCTGATGGAAAAAAAAACCCATATATATATATATATAAAAATATAAATATACATTGAAAATGAAAATCTCATAGAGAACTTTCCCTTATTAAAACACGGGAAATTTGACATGCCTCATCCACAAAACACCTTGATCTCACATGGTAACATTGTCATACTGTTGATTTTTCCCAGAATTCATTAGTATTTATGGGTTCCATATGAGTACAATGCACAACCACAATCTTTCGACATAAAAAGGTGACTTCTTCTCCAAAACACAACTTGAATCTTTACTGATTCATGATGTATCCATGTTTTCTTTATATATGCTTTTGTGTAAAATTTTCTTGTAAGATATACATATACAAAGTATCAGATTTTTAAAGATTCATGTTAGACATCTATGTTTTTATTATAAAATTTAGTTAAGTTGCTTTTATAGTCCATATGCAAATTACTTAACATATAGAATCATAAATGTCTGAAAATGCAGCTTTTAAGAATTTTTACTGAACTCCATAGGAAAATTAATTCTAAATTCCATTTAGTACAATTTGTGGACAACTAAAATGCTAGAGTATAAAACATAATGCTGTAAATTCAGTTCTTATTTGCTAGGAATTACATAAATTGTCTGCTACTTCACAATTTCTGAAGATACTTAAATAAGCAGACAAAAATGGCATTCTACACACAAGCAAAATGTTCAAACTGTCCCTAAACAGTCTTTTTGTTTTTTCTTTTTTTTTTTAATTGAAGTTTAAATAATTTTATTAAGAGCTATTAGACTCTGGGTAGCTCTAGTTTCTCACAGTACAATTTATCTCACCTAACTTTGGTCATATAAAATGTAGGTGTCGAGTCTACGGGGAAGTAATAGAGGGATATTGCCATACAATAACAACAACCATCAAATGGGACGACTTGCCTTCTATACACAAATTTCCTACTCCAGTGACTAGAGGAAACCTAGATTACCAGCTTAGACTAGAGACTTTACTTGCTACAGCTACATTTGGAGGAGATAGATAAATTATTTCCCAAGTATCTAATTGTGCTCTGTAAAGTTAACTACTGCAGATTAGTTCACATTATAAAGTCAAATCTAATTCAATGTGATCACTGTGCAATATGAAAATAGCCCTAGGGCAAGAACCTGTTACAGAGTTGGTCAAAATGGCATGGCCAGTTCAAAATGCATGAGACAGATGTATTTGGCTTGCCAGCAGACCTAGTGCTGTTCCCAGCCTTAGATTACATCACCTGTCCTGCTTCAGGGCCATTTACTCAGAATCCTCAGCCATGGAAGAAGGAAGCCTAGAAGAGCTGTTGAACGCAACATCATGGGGTTTCTATAGGAGCCAGATGCTACATTTAATCTCAGCAGCAATAAGAGTCCTGGGCAGCCGTTGCTGCCTCCCATCTAAGAACCATGCCTGAGGCTTCTCTTTAATTTGACTCTCCAATATACATGATTCTCAGTAAGATTTAGGCATATGGCTCATAAAGTGAGGATAGCCTTGGGCTACTCATGATCTTATATGATAATTTGCCTGTTTTTCTAACTTATTTCTGTAGTTAGAGTGGCTATAAATATAATGACTGACAAGACAACCAACCTCCAAAGTTTTGCACTTTCCATTCAGTCTGCTGCAGAGTCGCTGGTAGTTGGTAATTAGAACATCAAGCTCCTTTTTCAAAGCTTCATGAGCCGCAGGTGGAGCCTTTGCTATAAAATTATTCACAGAATCAGTAATAAGCTTCACTTTCACCTCTTTCTGCACAGCCTCCTCCTTTGCTCTCTGCAAAAAAGAAGTTGCTTTGGTTTGAGAAGGAAGCAGATTTCAAACCACTGTGTCAAAATTCTACCTCAGAAGGAAAAAGGAGGAGCCAATTAATTCCCATCCCTTCTAATGTAATCTTGAATGCATCAATAAAACTTTTTTTTTCCTTTTCATTTTGGAGGTAATATATGATACTAAATATAGTTTAATATAATTTCCACAACTGTTTAGTTTTCTGAAGCTCTCAGAAAACTAAAATATTTCAGTCATTTTCATCAAGAAAGTGCTCCTAATGCCTTCTCTATAATACCTTACTCACTGCTGATTAAAAAAAAAAACTTTTGTGTTACAAATTTAGTTAGCCAGGGCTAAAGATACAGTCATAAGCAGCAAGATTGAAAATAAGCAAAATACTTCTGACTGATTTTCCTCCAATTGCTACTGTCATTAACCTGCATTTAAAGAGAAACAGAAAATCATATTCCTCTAGTGTATATTTTATACACTTAAAACAGCATTAAAGTTGATTTCATTCTTTCTTTTTACAGAGGCAGCAAAAACAGTGTCATTATTCATGACCAATGCAGACTCGCTAGGGTTAGAAACAAAAAAACCACATTGCATCCAAGATTCAACTACTTTTACAATCGTGTCACTTAATCTTAGTGGGAGTCAGAGAAGAATAAAGTCTTTATATGCTTGTCCTCAGGAAGGTCTTTTATTAGAACTTTTCCTAGTATAAAAGAGAAAAAAAGCAGAGATCTACAAACGGAGAAATCTACTTTGAGTTCCCATCCAAATCCAGTTCCCACCTTCTTTCTTCCACCTTCGCTACTCTCCTTCATTATGGTATGTCATTAATAAGATACAAGATTTTCATATCTAGTATCGTTTCCTTTGGCTGCTTACAAGGGGACAGTTGGAGTATATCTGGAGTCATATCACTACTGAAAATACAGCGCGTCCTCAGTGTGTAGTGGATTTGACAGAAATTTGAGATGAGAACTCCCTGGTCCAAATGCACTAAAACAAAACCTTGCTCCCTGCCACCTCCTTCATGTGTGGGTCTGAGAAAGTCCTATGAACCAAAATACATGGGATAAGGCTATCATTGCCAGAGACAGCTTGCTAGCTTGTTCATGGCTGTCCTCTTTCCTGGCTGTGGGAAGAAATAGGCCACAGAATGAACAAAATTTCTGGTCCAGTTTTTGCCTATCATGTGACAGGAGAGGAGGCTGCAAGCCTTCAGAGAAAACGATCATGAGCAGCAGGCCTAGGGATGCATGACAAACGGTCTTGATTATCTGCAGAAGACCAGGTGGCATGGTTTGAACATCCTGTACTTAAGCAGGGAGTACAGAAATTTCACTAGGAAATCCTTAATGGGGATTGTGTCTAAAACTATACACTTCATCTACCTTTTTATGCAGTGTAAGGTATACATTTGAGTTTGTTACTTGATTTCTAAACAAGAATTGTATCTCTACAGCAAATATTCATTTTTGTCTCATTTATGAACCAAACTTGTTCTATTTTTTGCCATATATTGCATAGAACCGGCATTAAGACATTTCTATAAGTAAATAAAGAGGTCATCAGTTGCAGGATCAGCTACTCTCCCAAACTGACAAAACCCTCTGGATAATGAAGAGTTTGCAAACAAAGGGTTGGATAGATAATTAAGGCTATATAACCTGCCTTCCTGAAGAGTACAGGCCAAAGAATTCACCTATAAAATAAAGATCAAGCCCATATCGAGTGGCTGAGCACGAGTGTACTTGAGCACGTATCATATAATAGCTCTTTGGTCCAAAGGTCATATACCTCCAACATGCAAGAAACATTATTTACTTGAGAGAAAAAATGCTATTGCTATATTCAAGCACTATAATAAGAAGCAATACATAGTTAGCACACACTACCACACTTCCTGATGTCCTAGATCATTCTCTCTCTGTCTCTCTTTCTCTTTAATATAAGACAAAATATCAACTGCTTTCACTCTAGGTTATCATCAAGTAATTATCTATCAGTTAACTGCTGCTAACGACTGATTCTTGGGAATTATTCCTTACATAAATGGATGTCAAAGCTGCAACAAAATCAGGTGTCCAACAAAACAAAGAGGAAAAAAAAGCTAGCAATGAAGTACTGTGAAGGTTTAAATATGTTCCAATGTACTCCAGATTCGAAATTACTTGACGCTGCCTATTGCTTTAAATTTCAGATTTACCAAGAAGATGCCAAAAGGCATGTTTTTTAAATGAAAAAGGAAACTCTTTATTTACAATGAAAGCTTCAAAAAGAGCTTTAAACATAGTCCAAGGAGTTGATTTGTCTTTTACCTTCAGTTCCTCAACAGCTTTCTGCAATTCTTCAGGTGTTTTATATTCAAAATCTCTTTCCAGATATTCTTCCTCAGCTTGTGTTATCCATTCATGCATCTCTGACAAATCCTTTCTGAGACTTACAGTCTTATCCAAACCACCTTTTAATGCTGCCTTCTTAGCATAGGCCTTTCAGAAAGGAAAAAAAAAAAGTATCTGAAGCAACAGCCTGCTACATAAACTTGTAGGTGTTTTACCCAAAATGAAACAAAATGAAACCTCTGCCAATAACATTGCTGGAATTAGACAGATACTAATAACAAGTAATTAGATCGATATTAGTGATAAGTAGTGGAGAAAGTATTACATACATATATACAGCTATATTCTTTTAGTGAGTCACTGCTGTGCAGAATGAGTTTTTAAAGACTCTAGAACAAGATTCTACATCACGTGTTGAGGTCGTTAGAAAACACAGCTGAGAAAACATCATCCAGGGAAAATCTTCTGAAAGATGTAAAAAGAATAGTAGCAGGAACCTTTGCAAGTACACCCAGTAATGAAACCACAGACCTTTGGGCTATAAACATGGGAGACTTATTAATCAGTTTGAGTGCAACCTGTTAGAGAATAAAACAGACAACAGGCATAGCTTAGTTTTGCTGATGAAGCTACAGTTTAAGCTCTCAGAAAGATGTATACCCTAAAGAGAGGTATACAGAAGAGGGAACCTTCTACTGAAGGAAACTATATGTCCTGAAGTGAAAAAACCTTTCATTAAATCCTTTGCTGATCACTGTATACAGAATTCTGTATCAATCTACCAGAATTGTCCATAACTGATAGCATTGGCAGAGTTGTCTTTAGACGATACATAGAAGTTTGCAACAAAAACAAGTACTTGTACTGGTGCCACATTGCTGAATTGGGTATGAAGAACCGATCACTCTAATATCCTCTACTGCACTGCTACTTACGTAAATGTTATTTTTAGTATCATTAGGAGAAATTGTGTCTTAGTACTTGGTCTTAGTTTTTGACTGTTTTTAGTTTGGTTACCCATCCTTCAGGACTGCCTGTTAAATACAAATGTAGCAAAGATCATCAGCACTGTAAAGAAGAAACTACAAACCTTACATAGATGTTGTTCTACACAACAAAACACAGTAATAACAAAAAGTTGATGTCCAACAAGTGCAATAGCAGAATCCCACATGGCCCTGCAAAATTGCCTCTTCCTCAGTCTCAGTACCAGAAGAGAGGATAATCTTCCATCCCCTGGAAAGAGTACCTGAACACTCATTGCTAGCGCTCATAAGGCTCATAATCATATTAACTGCATAAATATTAACCCATATTGACTCTTCCAAATCCTTTCAAGAAATCCCTACAGACCAAATTGATTTTTATATTTACTCTTGTGTGTTTTAATAGTTTACTAAAGAATCTGTGTTAGAAATGGCTACTGAGAAGCAACAATTTCAACAGTATATTGGATAGAACTATTACAGGAAGATTATCAGAGAAGTCAGAAGACAGCCGTAAAAGACAGAAGAAAAGTGTAAAAGACATGAACTTTACTTGAACTTCACTTTTCAAGAAATTTGCAAGACTTTATTTGAAACTTCTGTGCAAAGATAACTGTGGTATTAATACTACAAAAATAGGCAATTAAAAACTTCACATTAGTCAAAGGGGAAAGACTATGGGGTTAATAAAATGGGGTTAATAAAATGGCTAACACATTTCAAAGATAATTTTTTTCTATAACTATGCCTACAAGAAAAATGTAAGGAAGCTATTCTGCACATGCAAAATCATGCATATAATACCAGGTCCAATTTCTCTGTCTATAAAATGGGTACTGCATCTCTTCTGAATTCTGACTTCTAGAAGGTTTCACCTCTTATTTCGAAATAACTGAAGACCTTACATTTCTCAGTATGTCTCCTTAGCTCAAGTACAGTACTATTTCCAGCTATTGAGTCTGGAGCGGACACTATTTCTGAGGGTGGGACGCCTTTGTAACATACCCTATATTTCTGAAGAACATGGCACTTCGTAGCGAAAGATCATCAAAGCCAGTTACATGATATCACTGGAGAAACCATTACATAATACTATTTGAAAATGTATAACATATATCATAGTTGAGCTGTATTTCACAAAGGTAAATACTGGACCCTGTGGGCCCAAAAAGACATTTGACAAATTAATGGAAGAAAAACCTACAAAGAGCTACTAAATCTAAAATCATCACCTTGGAGGTATTTCTTTGTTTTCTTGGTTTAAATACAATAAATAGACTTTTCCTTTCTGTATTTGGTTTTCCAGCTGAGGTGAGGTTAGTTATTTCACAGAAAAAATGCCAAAGTTATCAGAAAATATTGTTCTTTTGTTTAAACAGAGATGTGGGACACAGGGAATGGGAAGAAATATGGTGATGAGCAGTAATAAGCAATGGCAGGCCAGAAAATTGTTTTGAAACTTGAGACACTTCATACATCTAGAGTAAATCATTAACCATCATCTTGGTTTTTCTATGGTTTTCTCTATTAAAAATGTTCCAAGTTTTTCCAAGGAAAAGCTTTACTTGATTCAGGGAAGCTGATCCTGACTGGTCAGTCTCAAAGTATATATAAATATGTTTTCAAAGATTGCTAGTTGTTTATTAGTAAAGCATAATAATTTTAGAAAACAGTACACCATATTGAAAGGTAATGGGTATAGTATTATGCAAATATATGTAAAAAAAAGTAGATAACAAAATGATCACATAGATAAAAGCGAAAGTACTACAACCTGAAAGAAATTTCCTTTTGTCAGTGACTATGAAGTGTAAAGAATGAGAATCCTAATGCCATCAATATAATATTAGCAATTTTCAGCTTCCTTTAGCTGCAAAAATAATCTATTAAAAATGGCCCTAATTAAAATAAAACAACTATCCTTTCTAATTATGCCCCATTCCTGCAAATTTGTGTGGTCACTGGAGACTGAAATTTAGAGAGATGCATATGTGCGCATATTTGTAATTATAGGTTATTGAACTCTGAATTCTTCACTGTTTTAATGTCTTGCAAATTTTTATCTAGTGTAATGACATGTGCGTAAGATACAGAAGAAAATGCAACACATTGGCTAAATATAGAACTTGACTTTTTGGCAAGTACCTACATACCACTATCAGAAAAATAATTCTGCAGGAGCAATAAATTGCATAGCTGTTAAGATATAAGGTATTAATTTTCTTATGCAATAATAAGATATAGTATCACAAAGGTACCTACTTCGCATGTATTGCTACATGCTAGACAAAATTTTGAAGATGGGAGTTTAATTAGTGTGAACCGAGTAGGTCCAGATTCTGTTTCATATCTACTGGATATGCACAGGAGGAGAAATTCTGCCAATGAGAAATCTGAATATTAATTTAAAAAGAACTAGTCACAGCAGGAGACTCGATACCTGTTGGCAAATGTGTTCCCATTGAGCATTGAGTTCCTTTAGTTCTGTCTCTATTCTGGAAGCAAATTCTGGCTCTGCTTCACTCTTCATTTTCTTCCCAGCCTCATTAACACTGTTCAAACTGGGCTGGATTGTCTGGATATCATTTACTAAAGCCTAAAGGAATAGCAGAAGATTAGGAAAGTAGTATTCATATAAAGTATTTCAGACTCAACATTCCTATAAAAACGTGTCTACAGGAGATTCTGCTATGCGCTTGGTCCAGAGCTCTCGATAATATAAGCACAACTAACACACATTACTACGAAGATGAACACAAGAAAGGAATGAGCAACTGTACTATGATAAGCTATTCTATATCAGATAAAGTTTCTTTGCAAAATGTATCATATAATGTTTTAAATAGTATTACAGTATTGCATAAATGTTTTTCTCATATTTGTGAAATAACATCTTATCGTGATAGTGCAAAATTATTTGTGAAGCCATCTTACTTAGATATGCTGACATTACCCTTTGGTCGGTAATTGACCTGATAACTGCCTTAAAATGATCTGAATGGTGATATTCTTAAGTTATTTCCAGTTATTAGAATTAGACTGTAAGAAATATAGGCAGGTGTTTGAATATTATTTAAGCTCTGAGGTAGTTCCAACTTGCATTAGGACTTAAGGCACCTCTAATCTTATTTTCTAAGGCCTTCTGTATTGATCCTGATGTTACCTGAGCTTCTTACACGGTAGAACATGCTAGAAATGTAAACACATAGGAGACAATGATGACTTTGGTAACTTTATTATGTATCTGACAACAGTGGGTAATATTTGTATGAATTGCTTACAAATTTACAAGACAGATTCCAAAAGAGTTGCATGTAACTTACTACTGTGTAAAAGATAAGACTTCTCTTATATATTTAATGTTCATTTTTATTTAAGTAAGGGCTAACATAAACACAGAGAAATTCTGGGAAGCTTGTAGTCCTGTAAGGCAAATATATATGGTTCATAATAATTACAGCTCCTGCCAGAACATTTATAGAACTTGTAAATCCCTTTAAAGATATAGCCATGGACTGCTACGGTTTACAAGATTCATTACACTTACACACTCTGTTGGGACAGGCAGAAGAATTTGCAAACTTTGTGATAGAAATATCAATACTTCGTGATGCTTTAAAACTCTACAGGGAGAAAATCCTGGAACTTGTAACTTTAGTGAGGAAAATGGGCATAATTCACAATACCTGCAAGTTCTTTTGGTAGAGTCAGAAGAGCCTGTAAATCATGTGTGAATTATAGATGCAGAAAAAGATCTTCTGGCACAGATTACATAGCGTATAATAAATACACATGGAGTGTTTGTAAACTTAATAAACTAAATAAACACATATCCTAAGTTTCCAGAGATTTAACTTATTATTTGCTGCAAGTACTCTCTTGTTATTGTTTTCCTTCTGCTATAAATACATAATGATACAGTCACAGTATGCCTTCTCTCCGTTTTCAAGTTTACCACTTTTTATAGAATTTTCCTTCAAGCCCAGGAAATGTAAGAGGCTCAAGCACATTGCAGAAGGAAATCTCCTCATAACATAAGTCTATTTTTAGGAACTGTGATCATTTGTGTCACTGCTATATAAACTAACAATTCACAGAAGAAAAAATAATCATCAAACAGGCAGGTAATACTCACTGTACACTGTTCAAGCTGTTTTTCCAGTGCTTCTGAATCACCAAGGGCAGGCCACTCTTCTTTCAGAAAAACATCCACTTCAGCCATCCACTTCTTTAGCGTTTTAATGTCATTCTGATTATTAAAAAGACATTTTATTGCATCACACAGAAACTGACTGGTGATAGTATAATTCATTTTGGCACCATGACTTAAATTCATTCCAATTTAATTCCAAAATACTCTAAAAAATGCAAACACAGCAAACAGGCAAAACTAATTTTATCTGTGACTGTCATTAACTCTTTAGCCTGCACTCTGATCATTCTTGCCCAAGTTCTATGTGTCTAGGAGCGGGCAACTTTATACCTTTCAGATAGTGTTTGTGTTTAGATGCTGTGTGCATGCATGTGTGTTTACCATTTTCTTTTATGGCTTCAGACTACTTCTGCTTAGCAATTAATTCAGCCTCACCTAATAAATCCTCATGACTTCAATCTAATTTTCAGGCTCATTTTGGAAGTTGCATGTTTTATTGCCTATATCTCTGCCAGAACACAACACAGAAAAGCTCTGTTACCACTCAAAATAAAAAAGTAGTGCTACAGCAATTGGAAGAGTTTCACTTGAGGAACTCAAATCATATAATGACTCAGTGAGAGAGCTGAAAATAGATTTTGAGAGACTGATTCTCAGTTATTGTCTCTAGCATGACAGTCTTTGTAATCAGTAATTTGCTTTCCATATTCTTTAATTAACCCTTTCAATTAAAAAAAAGAGTCGAACATTAAATCCTTGCAAATAAGGGCAAGGATTGAAGGGCTGACTAACATGGGTGACACTGTTGTGGG